CTCTAGGACAGGAGCTTTCTTTCCCCCAATAAATATATTCTACTCTTAACCTATGTTTGCTCCTAAAATTCATTCTTCAGTTTTGGAGAACATGAACTCATCCCAGGTACCTTCAGGTTGGGAGTTTCATCCCCATCCCCCCTGCCCCCCCACCAAGCAGATTAAGTGCCTGCTTTGGTAAGCACAGGGACGCAGTTCAAACCCTGGTCCCGAATGTGGTGCCGGCCCCACCCCCTGCCCTGCACCTGCGGCATGCCCAGGAGTGGTGCCCACCTGTAATCCCAGAAATCCCAGAACGGGGGAGGCTGAAAACAGGAGGATCACCATGAGTCCAATCTGCGTAGTGAGACCCTGTACCAAATACACACACACACACTAAACTGCCTACTTGTTCCATCTTTTTTTGGGGGGTGTTGACACAGGGCCTTACTATCCTGTCCAGGATGGCCTTGAATTCACTACGGTCCTCCTGCCTCAGCTACCTCTGGAGTGCTGGGATTACAGGATGTACCACTGCACCCAATTTGACCCATCATTATTGGGAGAGTGCTTACGGGTTTCTACAATAATTGTGGATTCACCTATTTCTCTTTTCACTTCTACTTGTTTGGCTTCAGGTATTTGAACTTTGGTTTAAAAATTACATTGGGGGGGGGCGGGGAGATGGCTCAGTGGAAGAAGCGCTTCCCTGGCAAGTGCAGGGGCCTGAGTTCAATCCCCGGTTCTGCTAAAATAAATAAATAAAAATTACATGTGCTCAATCCTGGTGAAGTGCTGCATGTGTAAAGCCTGGTACCTTGGGTGGCTGAGGATGGAGAGTCACAAATTCATGCCCAGCCTAGGGCATTTAGTGATTAGTTGGCACCCTACCTTAAAAAAAAAAAAGGCTGGTGATGCTGCTTAGTGTGAAGGCCCTGGGTTCAACCCCAGAGCTGGGGAAAAAAAACCCAAAAAAACCCAAACTAGAGACAAGGAGAGGATGGAGGGCAGACAGGGCAGGTAGATCCTCTGGCCCAACAGAAAGCCGAGGCTTTTGTGGTCTTCTGTTGGGGTGGAGTTGGAGGGGATGTTTGGAAATACCTGAGGAGCTGAATGTGGTCTTCCCTGATGTGGTGGGAAAGGGGAAAGGAAACTGCGCCCTGGCTGGGCTGGAGAAGGGAGAGGTGGTCTCCAGGGAGAGAAGCTGTTGTTTCAAGGGCTTCAGCCACATTAGATGACCACCATAATAATTCAGCAAGTCAACTGGGGCCAGAACCTACCAACCCTCAGCCCCCCCAGGCCACAGCTCCTGTCCCCTGGCTCTGAACTGGAGCACAAACCCTTGAAGGCGACACCTGTGAGTGGCAGGAGGAAGCCCCATGGCCAGCTCCAGGTGTGCAGGGCCAAGGGCTGTGTCCCCCGAGGCCACTAGTAAATATTTGGGTCCACAGTGCCCTTCGGGAGGCCCCGTGGGCCTTCCAGAGGTGGAGTTTAAACTGGGCGTGGTGGCCTGGGTTTGCAATCCTGTAATCCCTGCACTTTGAGAGGCTGAGGCAAGACAATCACAAATTGGAGCCCTGCTTGAGCCATTTAGGGAGACTCAGACTCAAAAACAGACTGTGGACATTTCAGTAATCCCACTGCCATTTCCAACTTAATTTCTTTTTTTTAATTTTATTTATTTATTTATT